AATGAGGCGAGAGTCAGCATCCATGACCAGTTCCGCTACTTCAGTGGCAGTCAATTGAACTTTGGGATCAGGAAGCTTGTATGTCACCGCACCATGGAGTTGCCACAGGATGACAAGTCGCTTGTATGCTGTCTTGGCTTGGTTGTCTTCCAACACGAGTTCATAAGGCCCTGTGACTTTCAGACCAAGTTCGCTGTAGTGGTTCTTGTCATTCCCTGGGAGGATCACGACCATAGTAGCACACGGAGTGATGCGTGCAAGCTCTGAAATGGCCGATTTCGTAGCGAGAACAGCTCCAGCCTTCTTTGCTCCAGCCTGCAAACGATGGACCTGAGGCACAGCGGTTCCTTTTTCATCAAGTAGAGGATGGTCACTGGGCATAGTGAGGTCTTCCCATCTTGTCTGAAAGAGCTTCTTCGGGGGCTTGGCCTTGGCGGATTTGGAGGCCCATGGGTCATCAATTTGGAGCACATCAACTTTGCCCGAGTTGCCTGCAGCCTTGGTGAGAGGATCGCCTTTCTCAGTACCTCCACCCGCCGCATACTGGAGCGCACCTCTGTCAGCCAAAAGGTGGTGCAGAAAGTTGGTCCGCACGAGGCTAGCAAAGTTGATGGTGCGCGGGAAGGAGGACGAGAGCTGCCAGACCATTCGAGCCCGTTCAATAGTGCTTCTGATCTGCACTCGAAACCTGGAAAGATTGATCGTATGTTGCACTTCATTGGCCAGAGGAGGAATCGCAATACGCAGTCTTTCACAGAGCGAATGCAGAAGGACCCATCCGCACATGTTGGGCTCAGGGTTGCACCTGACAATGTGCACTTGGCAAGCGAGCTGGGCCTCGTCAATCTGTGTCATGACAAAGGTAGCAATCGGTCCAGCCAAATGGGCCAAGGCATCTGGCAAACTCATGTGGAGAGCAATTGTATTGACAGCGAGGGTAGCATCAATCTGAGTCCAACATTGGTCGACCAGAAGGAACCAGGTGACATTCTGGTAGGCTCTAAAGTCTCGCCAGTGGTCATCGAAGTAGACGAAGTGACCAGTAGTGTGGTCCCATCTCGCTGGCGGCATGAAGCAGGTCTGTGGCCGTTGGAATCGGACAGCTTGCAAGATGAAATCAAGTTCATCAGAGCCCATCCAACCAGGGTAGTGGTTGAAGTGCTGAATGCGGTGATGCAAATGGCTGTCAGGGCTATCAATATGGATGGACGGTGTCTCAGGCTGCCCGGGAGCAGCATGCCCATCGTCAAACGTGACGGTGAATGAGTCCTGTGTCACGTTGCCTCGAATTGTGGTGGTGGCCAAGAAGCTGAAGAAAGCTCGCCGCAAGGTAGCAGCAAAGTACCAGAGACCATGAGCAATGCCACTCTGATTCCAATCCTCAATAGAGTCCTCGATAACATCATCAATCAGCGCACGAGCAGCGATAGAGGTGGACGCATATAGATCATTGTTGAGAGGAAGTTGCTCAAAGACTCCAGCAGCGGTAGCCCATCTGTGAAGGAGAGCCCAACCACAAAAGTGAGTAGCATCATCGAGAGGGACATGGCTATACTGAAGTCGGTCCGGGCTGACATCAAGCAGGCGAGCAACAACCTGTAGGCCACTTCTGAGCAAAGGTCCAGGAAGGCCAACGAAGGTGACATGGGTCGCTGCACCATCGCGTTGGATCTCAAAAGCAAGCCAGTGGGACCCCGAGAGGATAGGAAGTATATTGAGCCGATTGTTGGCAATCAGGAGCTCCTGGTAGTCATTTTCATCAAGGTTGGCTGTCTCAAGGTTCCATCGGACAGCAGGATGAAAAATCGCAAATTCAGGAGAGAGCCATGTCAACTGCCTCAAGAAAAATGCCATCTCATCAGACGCAAGCCAGCCTCCGGTATTGCTTGCAAATTCTGCCCGCTGGAGAAGGTTGGCTCCTGCTGGAAGCGTGGTAGTCCTGGTACCATGATGACCTCCACAGTGAATCTCATTCTGCAGCGAAAGGTGGAGGAAATCTCCATGTTCAAGGCTGAGTGGTAATTGCTCAATATCATGGCCATTGTGAGTGTTGAGTCGATAGTTCCACGAGCCAACCTGGAAAGCGCGAGTGTGGAGCCAAGATGGAACATAGAATCCACAAAGAGCCTGCTCCAAGCCAAAGCGGATGAGCACCAGCTTGTCTTCAGTGTGCTTGTGGAAGATGACGCCAAAGGGGCCATGATCAGCGCCGTCAGCGGGCTCAAGAATCTTGAAAGCATGCTGATTCACTCCTTGGTCAAGGTGGCTCCAGAAGTCACGAAGGCAATGCAGTCGATCGGCTGAGTTGGAAAACCCATGGAGAGTGATCGTGCAAGGAAGTGACCCAAAGGCAATCGTGAAGGTTGGAAGACCAAACGCACAGGTAGCAAGGCAATGGCGCTCCAAGTAGGAGAGGGCGAAATGGAAGTGTTGATCTTCAAGGAGTTCATCATCTGGAGTCAGTCGAAGGCTGCAAGGTGGACTCTGAATAGCTGGAGGCAGCTGAAGAGTGTCAACACCAGGCCAACTCTGGGTGGCATCAGAAGATTCATGGGTGCCAAGGAGCGACAGGTGCACAATGGGGTAGCCCTTGATGAAGAGAGTCCAAGTACCACACTGAGCAAAGAGGTCATCAAGGCGTTGTGACGGTTGCAGCTTTTCGCCGGTCGCAGCAAAGTAAATGTGCGTAGCGAGATCGAACTTCCAGGAGAAACATCTCAAAAGGTCAACATATTGCCACTGAGGTGGGACGAGCAGCTCACTTGTTCTACCATTGACATGACAGCATCGGAGGCATAGGTGGTTTGCACCTGAAATATCCTCGTTGTGAATGTTGATCTGCTCAATGATGTCTCCCACCCTCGCAAAGATGTAGAAGTCACCCTGCTCGATGATGATGGCCTTCGGTCCCAGAATGCGTTTCTGCCAAACCATGGTGATGGCCTCATTGACATTGATCCTCCATTGGAACACCTGGCTGAGCCCTGTCAGGAGTACGAGGAGTGCATGAGGCGTAGCAATAGCATTCCCAATCTGCCTATAAAGAAGTTGCAGTTGCTTGGCCAAAACCGTCGTCTCAAAGAGGCCCAACATAGCCGCCAGCATGGCTGGATCCAGAAATTCAGGGCCAAAGTCACCATCCTTGAGGGTAGCAAAGATGCCTTTCTGCTCCAAAAGATGCATAGGCAGCAAGTGCTGAAAGCCATAGGAAGCGCAAACCGTAGGGACTGGTTCATGAGGCCGAAGGAATCGCATCTGTAGGATGACCTCAGCTGAAGCATTCGAGTCGATTTTGGCTCTCTTGGCTGGAGGCAACAACGAATGCTGGGCATAGGCTGACCTGACATTGTGAGGGATCAGAAGCCTAGAGGCCAAGCTGCGTGGAATGTCGAACCTAAAGCATTCCGAAGTCCATCGATCAATATGCAGTGCCCTAAGTGTGGGATTCGGCTTAGCCTCTTCACTGTGCAAGTCTTTGCGAAGGAACACAGCAAGCCACCGGGAGCGAACCATGTGGGCAAAAGGATGATAGTGAGAGACATCCTCCCAAAGGCTGACATATCCGATGCAATGAAGCAACGAATGGATGAACTTAAAATGCGGGTGTCGAGGCAGCTCGTCAACACATTCTACTGCAAGGAAGATCGGTTGTCCTCGTGCACATTGGTGAACAAGGTCCACAAAGGACCAACCCTCAGGGCTATTGAGGCCTTTGCCTAAGCCCCCTTTACTCCATGAAACGCACGGGGGAGAAGCAGTGTACACCATGTTCGAAAAAGGCTGTACAGCATGCTGGATGGAAACATCCGCAATGTCAGCTTGGATGACTCGGTTCATGGTGACCTCAAAAACTTGGCTAGCTTGCAGGGGTGCAATCACCTGCTTGGAGCCATGCTTCAATGCCAATGCTTCAACCACTTGCGGGTCCATGTCGGTGAAAGTCTGAGCACCCACAGTCACATGGGGCCAAATCCACGGAAGGGTGGAGAAGGCCTGCCCCCATCCCGAAAAGGCTCCTGCGAAAAAGTGGAAGCACTCGATAGCATCCTGAGGAACAACCATAGTTCGCTTGGTGATGGTCACAGAGCTGTCACCAACCCAGGTTCCGTTGTCCAAACACCTCAAAGGTCCAGCAAAAACACATCCATCCCCAGCACAGAGGTTGAGGGATCGTTTTGCAGCATCATGGATAACAACCTTTGTCTCGGCAGCTTGTCCGTCAAAGCAAAATCCTCTCCCCCGAACGAAAGGAAAAAGCGAAACATCAAAGCAGTCCTCAGTCTGATGCCAAAAAGTGCCACAAATGATCTCACATTGATCCCAGGTCAAAGAGGGTCCATCGCACACACCTTGAAGGAGGGATGAGGCACGCAGCCTCCAACATCCATCCAACAAATTCCAATCGAACTCAAGTTCCATGGCGCAAATCTAATGGATGCAAGCGAACAAGGGTCCTAATGGAAAAAGGTGTCGGCAAAAGAAGCCAACTCAGTGGACGCCTTCCGTCGCACGCGAGTGCGACCAAAAGGCCCCGGCCCCCGTGAGGCGTGAGCCCCAGAGTCTTGAACCCAGAGGGCTGTAGTCTAGTCTGTTCATGCTCGGTGAGAAAGAACCGATTCCTCCCGGTTTTGACCCACAGCCACATATCATGCCATATGTGGATCATTCATACTTAGATCTTCCCATCCTGAATCCAGCGAAATACATCGTGGACAGGACGAACATTCAATTCGGAAGATAGAATGCATTCAGTCTCGACTTGATAATGATTTGTCGATGGCCAGTCGCGGAAGATGTAACTGCACGACCACAGGCGAGTGCTTCCAGAAGGAACACATCCCCAGGGCTCCAGTCGTATCTTCCAAGAAGGTACTTGGATCCCTATAGGGAACAGTGTCTCCAATCACCTTCTGAGAAGGTGCTTTGATCCCTAGGGCCTCATTTGTGACCCATCCCATTTAATCCCATGGAAGTAACTGCTCCATACGTTACATGTGAAGGCATCGAAGACTTGGTCGTGAACTCTGTTGCTTTGGCCTTCATCCTGCAGATTGATGAGCTTATGTGCCATGAGTTTCTGGGAGATCGATACAGTCGCCCGTGGTTAGTTGGAGCGGTTCCATGGATAGGCGTGCTTGATGGAGGATAGGGGTTCCCAACATCTCACTTATGGCCAACAAAACCACGCCTTTTGGAACCAGCTGGTAGTTGTTATATGTGTTGTCAGTCTTTTGATTGAGATTGCAAGGACAAAAAGAGGGTTCTGTTGGGTGGTATGGATAGGTTGAGGCACAGAGAGGGCACAGAGAGGGTGTGTAGTACAGAATCAACTTAATTCATCTTGCTGGATGGCTGGTTTGTAGAGTGAGTGCGTGACAAATGGTGTGACCAGTTCGGGGCTTGCGTTGACTTTGCTGTTTGCAGAAGCCTTGGTGCATACTGCATACCCAGAAGGACATGGTGTGAAATCTTCGCTTAGCGTTTGCAGAGAGCGTGTCATGACCCGCCTATAACCTCTGCAAGCATCAGTTTTGTATGTTTTTGTCATCGAAAGTGAGCGCTGAGCGGCTCAGCTTCGGGCTCAGCTCGGCGGAACCAAGATGGGTGCGATGATGCAACCAGATATCCTCCATGTAGACCAAATAAACATGCGTATACAGTATATTAGAGATCTTGAATCTTCTAGTGATTCTAGTGGGATTTCTCACGTTTGGAGGTCTAGAAGTAATGCAGAAAGGCCCAAAAAAACCTTGATCGTTTTCCCAAACAACATCCATGTTTAAGTTCTGTTGATTTGTAGATTGGCAATTCTCGTATACCCCACCACTTTGGCATGTTCCCTCAGCCAATCCAGCCGGAACCGCTCAACATGAGGTTCATCAATGAGAAGGTGTGGCTCAGCCAGCATAGAGTTTGGGTGACAAAAAGCTGCAGAGAGAATATCGGGATATTTTAAATTTTTAGACACGTAGCATTGATGAGTTGGGTTTCTAAAATACTCACATCATCAACGACCGAATTTCAGCAGGTGTGCATGAGAAGAACAGCCTCGTTGAAACAGACAAGATATTTTTCCTTGCTGGTTTGATGCCAAACATACCCTTGAGTGTAACCCCTTTGTGAGCCTATAGTACTCACTTCTAGAATGATGGTTTAAATTCTTTTGGAAAGCATTGTATGTAATTATATTGAATCTCGTGCCTTCCGGGCTGCCATCCTGAGCCAATCGCCCAGTTGTTAGGGATCCAACGAAGGTCTACCCCGTGATGGTCCGGGAAGTCATTCCTAAAGCTTGAAACCCGGTCCCAACCACTGTTCAAGCCATATTAGATTTATTGGACAATAGATCCATTGAACACCATTGAAAAAACATGATGTTTTCTGTTTCTGGTTGGAACTGGATTTTCATCAGCTTCTTCTCTTCTTTTTTCAGTGGCACGACGAGGCCACGATCAAAACCCCTCTGGGTTGCAGAGCGCGACGAGGCCACGATCCTCCCTCTTCCATCGGCAGCCCAGGAAGACCCTCCATGTCCCTGCGATTCCCACGCACCGACCCCCCTCACCCTTCAGTCTTCAGCGTCACCGGTCTTCTCGAGGCATCAGCTGTTGTCCAAGTTGGAGGTCCACATGATCGGCGAAGTCGACTGGGTCGACGAAGTGGAGCGACTGGGGTCAACTGGGGCGTGGACGAGTGGGGTCGACGCGGTCGAGGCGACAGCAGAGGTGGGGGGATAAGATGGGATAGTGAGGTTTGGAATGACGCGGTCGAGGCGCTTTGGCGGTGCAATGGCACCAAACCGGAAAGAACAGATGACGTGGAGTGACATTGTTAATCTAGAAGGGTCAACCGGCGTCCTTGGCCAGATCGCAAGAGTGGATGCAAATTATGGTCGTGCTGCTGCTGCTGCCGCTGCTGCTGCTGTCCAACGCTATCTTATTGATGGCTACGAGTTTGACGGACGACTCGTTCTTTTTGAAGTTGGAGCTGACGCTCTTTCTTTGGTCCAAGGACGCTATTAGGTGCTCCTGGCATCGCTACTAGGAGCAAGGACGCTACTATAGGAACATGTCGCAGTCCAAGTCCAAGCAGTGAGGGTTCACCCCTGGCGACGATCGACCACGACGAGCTCTGCGCTCTACCTGCACGACTCGGGGTCGTCGATCGAGCGGAAAGCTGTCCGATCCGCCATCGATCGCTTCTTTGGTTCGGTGTAGCTCTGGGTCCAGTAAAAAAAGAAGAACATGATTCCTGCATTCTTCGAATCACTTGCACACTTGTTAGTTCTGATTTTAGTGTATCAGCACTGGGGGGGTTGTAGTGTTGATTGCACGCAACACGCGCAGGAGAGGATGTCAGATCAAGAGCTTTTCGAGAAGGCGGACCGCGATGCGCGATGCGATGCGACCGTGACAGACCGTGAGAATGCGCGATGCGATGCTAGTGGAACTCGCGAACGGATCCCATGGAACCTGAGAATTGACCGGTGGTTTCGACCATTTTCATCTACAACTGAGTGGTTTGGGGTTCCATGTGGTGCTTTGCAGGGGAGTAAACATGGTTGGTCAATTGAGATTGTCCAAGGGGCAAGCAGCAAGATGTAGAGACATAAGGGCAAGCAGATGCAAGCAGCAAGGCGAGCAGGACAGGAAAAACATGTGTTGGTGTGCTGTCTTCCCTAGTCTCACCAGTTTTCATCATACCCATGTTTGGAGCTCTACAGTATGCACCGAATGTGCGACTTGGTCTCGACGACACCTGCAGACCCATCAAAGAGCCTAGAAACACCTGCTTTTGGGCGCCATCCTGTGCCATCTCTACCTGGAAAATGTCCATTTGAAGATCGGTCCTGGCATTTGGTGGAACGAAGTTCCTTCGGGGTGTTCCGCTTGGACTTGGCGACCTCGGCGTCCTGCTGTGAAAAACTGATGCTCAATCCTCCATGCTGGGCAGGCGGGTCCATGCCGGTCCAATTGCCCTTCGGTGACCACCATGCTTCAAGTCAGTCTCGCACAAAAATGGCTGCCCAAAAACCCCACAATTAGGGCGCGGTCACGTGTTCACGTGTGAAGACGTGGCCGTCGTCATCCCCCAAATCCCCCCCAAAGCTCCGGTGTCTCGCGCTGTGGATTTAACCGCCGACCCGGTCGCCGAGCCGTCGCCGAACGGCCACGGCGCGCGCAGAACCAGCGCGACATCGTCGAGAGCTGGTCCATGCGGGATCTTTGGCGGTCGGGCACTCTGTGGATGGAGCGGACGGCGGAAGGGACGGGACGGGCACAGGAGGTGGAACTGGAGGTTTTAGAGGCTTTAGAGGTTTTGGTGTTGTCAAACCATGCGAAACTAGAAGTCCATATTATACCTGGATCTTCCAATGACCAAACAATTTTGGTTTATTGAATTGATCCGGGTTTCCGCGCAAACGGCCGCACATCAGCACAACCGACAAAAAGCACGCAAAAAACCAGCAAAGGACCACAAAAATCGCAAAACAAACAAAACGACCAAAACGACCATAAAACCAAAACGACCAGAAATTGTTGGTAGTTGGAAGGTCCAGGTTAATTTATTACATACTATAGGGTTGGGCTGAGCAACGGAAAATCGTCGTGAGCTATTGTGAACTATTGTGACTCATCGCAGGCTTTGATCAAAGCCAGGACTTTGGGGGATGTCTTGGAGATCCTGAAATCTTTGTAGTCAAGTGTTTACTTGCTAAGATTCAATGTTCAACCAAATCATGAAGAGCCAAGCGTGCTGAACCAAGCGCATGCGCTTTGCATGCTTAGGTTTGAAGCCGGCCCAGAGGGTCTAGCTACCTCCTCTTTGGATGTTCGAGCGAAGAAGTTTGATTTAAAAGATCAGAGAGGTCAAACTGGAGCCAATCAGAACTTACAAGAAATAGAGGTACTTGGACCCTTACCCAGACACTCCATGTATAGAAATGATCATGCCAAGAACCAACTGATCAGTAAATATGCCATTGAGGGTCTGGGTTAGGGGTAGGTGTGCCATGCTCCCTTGTCGAGATTCCGGTGGCTCAACAAGCGACCCACAGACAAACATAGAGCTCAGTCAGGTCTTGAGGGCTTGTTTCGGCAGAAGGATTTGGTTGAAGGGACATACTGCAAGTGTGTTCTTCTCACTGTGCTTGGTTTGAAGCCATGACACGTTACTGGTACTCACATGTTCAGCCAAACTGATGTGACTCCAGCAGCTGAGACCCTCTTTGTTGAGGGACTCATCCCTCTCGTTTTTGGTGCAGTTTCACTCCCTTGAAGTTGAGGTTCACCTCCCCTTCAGAACTACATGATACATGGGGCGGCGCTCAGAACAAAAGAGAGCAACGCTCTCACTGGCGCCTCAGGTTGGTCCCAGGCAAGCTAATCCTTTGCCTCTTGATCACGAGACTCGGCCAAACGAACGAAGCGAGATCTGGATGCCATGCCGTGGACATGTTCCAAAAACTACAGACAGTATACAGAGCTGCTACAGTCAGTAGCTGCTACGTGTTGTCGTGTTGTCTATGTTTATCGTTAAGGTGTGAACATCACCGAAGGGGTGTTTTTTTTTGTCTAAACTCCCGGAGTCTTTGTGAAGTGGTTTGAGATGGTTTGAGTGTTGAAACGATGGGTGCTATCGCCCAAAAGAGGGCACGAGAGTTGCACAGCAAGGCACACATTAAGGTTTTAAATGGACATGTAGATTGATGCGCTCGCGATTGAATGGCAGAAGTTGAATGACTCATGTGCATATAGACGTTGACACAAGAAGGCCATTAGATGTGTGAGAGGCCCTTAGTCCTGCAGAGACCCTAAGGTGTCTTCTCCTCCAAAGAATTTGAAGATACTTCTCCAAAGCACTGTCAATTCAAACCATTCTTGTCACGCTCGAGGTGGTTCTTCGTGATGCGCTACTACACCATCTACTGCATGCAAAACGAGGCATAATTCGGTCTCGCGCTCTCCACGCCGGTCGAAATCCGATGGCGCTTTGGAGGTACGTGGTCGTACGTGGTCGTGATGTGCGTCAAACATGGGGCATGCCCGGTCTCCATTGGTCAGTGTAGCATTTCCTGGTAGAATGTAGCGCATAAGAAGAGGTTTCAGAAAGTCAACCTTGCCGTTTTCCTGGAATCAAAGGGTGGCAAGGCCCATCCAGCAATCAGGGAAGAGTTTTTTCCCAGTTCTTTTTTTTGAGAATCAAGGATAATCCAATGGGGAGAGTTAGTTCAGATGCGCATTAAACTAGCTGCTTCAGTTTGTTAAAGGATTTGGGAAGTTTTCTTTTTCTATCAATTAGACTATATATGTGTTTAGCATTAGAATTCAGCTATAATATTCTGCACAACACATCATGAAGACGACAGATGATCAGATTTCAGTAAATACAGCGCGGTGGTTTGAACCCAACACGGGGACTTTCTTCGTTTTCTCTTTCTTCTCGTCTCTTCTCCGCCAGGCGGGCGGCATGGTGTCCAAGCCTTTGGGCCTTCCCAAGGCCTCCAAGCTCTCCTTGCCCAACGCCTATTTGACGTTCGGGGCACCCGTGACGAACAGCATGACTCGTTACCGCGGGTGGACAGGCGAGCGGGAAACAAGTTCTGCGGGTGACTATAGGTGACTGGAGGCAGTAATAAATGCTGTGCACCCGTGACTGGTGATTGATGGTTTGGTGATGTTTGGCGAATACGAACACCTGGCTCCAACGCCATGCACTTCGGCTAGATGGGCAACAAGTGGCAGTAAACTCAATATGTCAATAAGCATGTGTGTTTCGGCGGTAAATCCTTGGTGACAGCACCACACACAGAGTGATCATGAGTATCCTTTTTGTGGATCCAACGGAAGAGAGCTGTGAGAGGGGTATATGTCCAACTTCTGACGCTTTGTTTTGTTTCTTATTGGAAAGCACTCCATGGGACTGCCATATTTGCCGATCAGTTTGGATGGTTGACTGGGGGTCAATGGGGCGGCAGTCCGGACTGGCAGTCCCATTAGTCGTGTTTGGGTATTGGAAAGCACTCCTTCCGACATTTGATGCAGCAGCCTTGCATGCATCGTTTTTGATCGTTTCTGAACCAACGGCGTCCTGAGGAGCTTCTTCCCGCCGCCCAGGGAGGACAGGTCGGTTTAGACGATGGAGTCGTCGAGGTACCTCTTTTTGGAGGATCTTGATGTTTGTACCTTTTTGGAAGTATAAATAGACATGAGAATCATGAAAGGAACAAGAAGGCGTGAGATTTCTTTTTGCAGCTCGGTGTCTTGTCTTAGTTGGTCCGTGTTTGGTGATAGGAATGTAGGGCCCAGCTGTGGAGTGACTTTCTGTTCACCCTTAGTTCTGGGGTGGGTCCCCACTTTCCGGTTGGAATGCCTCAAGTAGCTGGTATACCCAGAAGCCACCCAAGGGTGTCTGACCCATTCTGAAACAAAGATTGGACCACGGGGTATCCGGGGTATCAAACGAGGCGACTGCTGGGTCATGGGTGTCTTCTTTCTTACGAGAGGCCATTCCCTACAAACCCAACAGATGAGTTTTGCGAGTACACTTGTATTAAGAACTATACCTGGACTGCGGTGCTCAACGGAGATCCAGCAGTAGTGTAGAGTAGTCTATTGGAGACCACGAAAGGAAGGTGCTCTTAGTTTTCTAAAAGGATCACTCCAAAACTGCTCTCCGATCACTTTTTCTTCAGTCTGACTGATCATATTGCCACGGCCTTGTCAATCCTACACTGGTCCTACACCATATTTTGGTCTCATCAAATCTCATCAAGACAATTCGAATTCAGCATGATTTGACAACCGCAACAACAAATGCCAAGTGCACAAAGCATGCCTTGAACACATACAAGCCCAGGACGCACCTGACATCAATGCCACTAGTTTGATAAATAAGAACGGACTATTGTTTAGAGTTTAGAGTTTGTGTTGGCATGTGTCGGCTATTGTTTGCCTGAACTTTCCTGCGCCAGCCACTTCCCAGTGGTAAGCAGGTAAGCACATATAGGCTGCGGTTCGAGGGTGGTTCAAGTCACATCCAGCACAGCTGCAGAATGCAGCGATCAAAAACTGCGCACAAACCAATTGCAAACAACAATTGCGCATGAGTCCCAAAACCCGCGGAGAAGCACAAGGAGTCCCACAGTTCCATGGTGGTTAGAAATGCTAGAAGAAACTACCTTGCAGCACATGTTCTTTTTTGTCAACACGTATTTTGGTTCACCATTTGAACGGCTTGAACGGTAAACCTCCTCCTTTGGTGGATTCCATCTTCGTCCACAGACCTGGTAAAAAGAAACAAAATAACTCGCATTTGTTTTGATATCTTCCACATCACAGAACATGTCCGAACATCCAACCCACAGATCCATCCGGACAAACCAACGATCCACGAGCAGAACCTTCCCATTCTCCGGTCTTGGGAACATCAAAAACGTGTTCTTTCATGTTCCACATCTGCTTAAGGTCTCCGAATCGCCGTCCACAGGTGTTTGTGTGTGTTTCTCCATCCCACAAGGAGAAGTTCTTTTGGTCGATGCCCAATGTGCCGCGCGACGAACACTGAGGCCGTCCATGAACGGCCTTGGTTGGTGTGTTTTGAAAGAATGCGATCTCAGTGGATCTCGTCAGTATTCTCATTTCTGGTGGTGCTAAGATCCACTGAGATTTAGACCCACGAAGCCTTTTTCAGAGACTTCTTGGCACCAGTTCTGATGGCTCAGGATGACAGTGGATCACTTTGTGTTATGTTTTTTCCTCATGGTTCATGATTTGGGGGGGTGTGGCTATACAGTAAAGTAGCTCTTGCTGTTCGGCATCTCATGTTCGTCCCCTCCTCGGATCCATCGAGAGAGATGCCCGGATCGCTCTTTGGGCGGGGTGATGGACCCACCCAGAAGAGTTACTACTAGTAAGGCACTTGTTTCTACTAGCTTCTTGTTAATACTAGTAAGGCACTTGTTACTACTAGTAAGGCACTTGTTTCTAGTTGTTTTTGGGGTTTGAACTACCTGGACCCGACTTCAAGTACCTTAGAACATGCGACATGACCCCATAAAAACAGGTACGGACTGTACCCGTTGAACCCGAGGTACGAACTGAGACTTCAGGTACCCTCCCTCCAACAATCATGGAAGCTGCGCAAGCCTCACTTAGTAGAGGAAAATGGTCTTCCAGGGGCCGAACTGTTCCACTTCCATGATTGTTTCAGGGAGTGTATCTCATTTGGAACTTGGTGTTGCAGAGTTGGAGATGGCACTGGAGACGGTGGACTTGGTTGAAGGCGTACACTCTCTTTTGTTACCAGACATTGAAGAGTGCGGCGTGGGGTGCTTGTCGCACGGAAAACTGTGGATTAATGATGATTAATGGAATCTCTGTAGGAATCCAAGAGGAGTGGATAGTGCATGATATATTGATAGGGCAGACTATTAACTGACACTGGTGCACCTATTATACATAGTTATACCTATGAACTCCTAAGTATGCAAAATTTTTGCTGCAGCAGTTTTTTTGTTGCCAGCGGAAAAAAGTGCTTGCGAGCACTTTCTATGGATCACAGGAGTTACCAACATTGAGCAAACAGAGTTACTGCTTAGAGAATCATAGCCAGCTACATCCACTTCTTAGCACTTTAATGCTGGTATGAACACAGCTTGATGAGAATAAAGAGATGCTCATGCTCCATGACTTTGTGGTGTCACGAACACCAAATAAAGATGGATCAAAACCTCCGATGGGTCCGATGAAGATCCTATTCCTGCTGTGGCTCAGAGTTTTCTTGGAAGGTGCGTCTGGCATGTTTGTGAATTCTCACCACAGTCTTTGCAAAGAGGTTGGCAAGAGTTGGACGGGCAATTTGGGCATGTGAAGACAGCGTGCCGCCAAGACATCTTTTGGGTTCAAATCAAGTGAGTCCACTCTTTCACGCCAACACTTGTTTTGGGAAGTGATGGCTCGTCCGTTGTCCGAGTTGCTTGACGCTGACCCAGTCATGCGCAATCTTGGGCGGAGTGCAGGATGTTTGACTCAATGGACAGACAAGAAGACCACTGGCTTACCTAGCTGTGTCCACATCAGGATGAACATGCGACTCCTGGAAATCCTGATGGATTGGTTTCTTCCAGAAACTTTGGGGCCACAAAGCATTCCAGTCGGTCGATTGAGAAAGGAGGCTTGCTTTGGGGGGCTTTGGGAGAGGGGGCATAGCAAGACTGGTCATCGAATTACTTTTTGATTGAGAGTTTTGCTCCACGTTGTTTACCACATGCCTCCAGCATTGCAAGATAAACGTACACGTTTTGAATATTTTATCATAGTTTATTATTTGACCCTGGCAGATTGCTGCTTGGCGTGCGTTGAGCGCTTTACCTGATGATGCTGCCTTCTTGCAAATGGATTCATGGGGGTGCAGGAAACTATTCTCCCATTGTGTCCGACGATGGTTGAGTGGAGCCAGCCGCCCTAAGGAGACACATTGGTGGATGATAGGAATTGAATTCAATGTGATGGACCAAAGATACTTTTGGAATTGACGGTGATTTGTTATTGTTCAAGCGCATTGTCAAAATTGTCCCTGTAGGATCCTGCAGTGCTGCCGCTTTGGATTCGCATGGATGAGGCGTGGGGGGGCCTTCCACGTGATGACCGTGCTGCTCATGATCTTGAAGATTGGGAAGATGCTGGTGATCAGGCGATTGAAGACAATGAGGTGGTGGAAGTTCTTGATTCACAGCCTCAGTTTGAGGATGAGTACGCTCTGCCTAGTCCTGATTCACAGCCTCGGTTTGAGGATGAGTACGCTCAGCCTGTTCCTGAATCACAGCCTCGGTTTGAGGATGAGGTCCCTCAGCCTTCTGCTGAGGAGGAATGCCCTCAGACCTGTCCTGAATCAGTCCCGGTGATTGAGCATGGTGAGTGCCTTCAAACCTTGTCTGATTCACATGAATCAGTCCCGGTGATTGAGAATGGTGAGTGCCTTCAAACCTTGTCTGATTCACAGCCTCAAGAGAGTCAGCCAGTGAATGAGCTACCTTCTGAGCCAATGCCTTGCAAATCAGAACAGAATGCCGAGGCCTTGAATGCACACCTTGCCCCTTGTGCTGAAACACTGCAACAGCAGGAACTTCGTTCTCAAATTATGTCCAGAGTGCGGGTGATAAGGCAGGTTGTTGGACAAAACCTTGTGCATGTTTCAGTATTTTATACTGTTTTCACTTACCAGGTATTATAACCACCAGGGATGACTAGGGGAATTTTGACAACTTTAGACTCATTGCGTTTCATTGCCAGCAACCCTGAAGTTTCATGGTTCAGCAGCGCCAGCTCGGACGGATGAGTTCAAGTGCCTAGACTGTACCATCGTCAACGTTTTGGTATTTTGTGTGTTTGTTTTTGGTCTGACTTGCTGTTTGCTTCAATCTCATGTTTGCAACGTTGGGAGGTGCTTGCCTTGATTCTGCGGATACCCAGCCCATGGACACCGATGTCCAGAACCAAGCTCAAAAGGTGCTCTTCGAAACCGGGCAGACCATTGAGATTTTGGATGATGAAAACGACCCAGAGCCCAAACCCGCTTCTGGTGAGAATCTTCCTGCAAATGTCACCTTGCCTCCTTTGGGCCAAAGCCAGGCCATGCCTCCAAATGTCACCTTGCCTCCTGTCATTCAGGAAAGCCAGGCGACGCCTCCTGGAGATGTCACCTTGCCTCCTGTCTTAGCCACGCCTTCTGATGGAGCTCGGGATCCTGATGACCCATCCTCGAGCACTCATTTGGCGGCAAGCGCTGGCGGGTCAACTGGTGACCAGACCAAAGCTGAAGGTGTAGCAGTGGAAGAACTGTTGAATGCTGAGGTGTGGTTTGTGGGAATTCCAAGTCGGATATGTGATATGTGTTTTGTTTCTTGTTTAACCACCATTCTCATGGTTCCTTTGTGTTTGCAACTCAAGTTTTTGGTTCCTTCCCGTCAGGTACCAATGATCCGCAGACGCGAGCAAATCAATGCGGACTTCAGGAAGAAGAAGCAGAAGAGTGGACAGGGGAAAGGGGAGGACGCGGAGGACGTGGAGGAAAAGGATGAGTCTGATGAGGAGCTTGGGGTCAGTGCGACCCCAAAGGCCAAGGCCAAAGCGAAAGCCAAGGCGGCTCTCGCTAAGGCCAAGGCCGCGGTGAAAGATGCCAAGGAGAAAGCCAAGGCAGCTGAGGCGAAGGCCAAAATGGCTGAGAAGAGAGCCAAGGCTGCTGAGAGCAAAGCCAAGGCACCCAAGCCAAAAGCCAAGCCTCGTGCCCGCAAGTCCAAGAATGCCAAGATGGATGAAGCTGAGAAGTCCACCAAGGAGGAGACCATAGCGCCTGTCGAAGCCGAGGAAACCGGCGAGCCCAAAGGCGCGAAGCGTTCCAAGGCGCTGGATGCTGAGATCCCAAATGGAAAGCGCTCCATGAAGGAGAAGAAGACATTTGCTGGGAGATATGTCGGTACGCCCAAGCATCAAGCGATTCGTGACGTGTTCGAAGCTGATATCTCGCCGAAGCTCATGAAGTCTAGCCGCTTGCAGGATGGGATGGGCTTTGGGATATTCTTGTGTGTTGTCCATGGTAAAGCTCAGGATATTCAAAGAATTAATTGTTATTATCGTGTTCTCATTGTTTTGTTGCCCCAACAAAGGTCAAGAGGCTTCAAAAGCTACTTCTTGAAGGTGGCCTCTGTGAATTCTGTTTGAGCAATTGAAAGCTCAAAATGGCCACCTCCCAAGAATAGTATTCTAAGCTTTCAAATTGTTGTTTGGCCTCTCTTGATCCAGCAGGACGGTTTTTTCAAGCTGGCGTCTGCGGCGATCGCGGGCTTGCCTGATGAGCCAGCTTATCAGAACTACGATGCCTTTGCCACGGCGGCCTCAGACAAGGTGGGAGAATTCTTGGACCTTGAGCAGGTTCGAATCTAAGCTGTCCAAAAGTATGGTTTTTTTATCCAATTCAGAAGAGGCTTGTAGCTTGGCCTTTTTCTTTTTAATGAACGCTCCAAATTTGGATCTCCAAGTAAGGAGCTCAGCTGCGCACCCCTTGAAGGAGTGAGAGCCTTGATGGTTTGAAGTCCAGAGCCAACCCTGAGCTGGCTTGACCCATGCGTGAGTGCCGTGGGGCGGCCACCATGCTGGGCTCATTTTCCAGTTTGGGTAGATTGGTTCTGATGATTTTGATCGGATTCCTCAGCGTGGCGTCAGTCAGACCATGTCAAACCATGATGTTGTTCACGTTTAGGTTCGTTGTTTCATAAGGGTTCGCGTTCTTTGCTGAACGGCTGAAGGGATTAGAACGTGCCTATGGGGTTGCTGTCCTTAAGCCTGGGATGGCCTTCAATCGATGAACAAAGCAGAGTGAGAAAATGTTTTTTCCTTGAATGATTGGGTTGGGAGAAGCGGTCTCAACCTTTCAACGAATTGAGTTTGTTGCCGGCCAGGGGTTCCAGCGGCAGACGGACCAGATCATTCAAGGACAGATTCATGTTCTCCGCGTTTGCTCATAGTCGACAAGTGCTACGTGTCGACTAGCCAGGATGGCCTTGCGACG